AACAAATAGCTGATCTTTACTTGCAATCATTCTCTTGAGATTTACCAAACAATGTTACTCGCCCATGCCTGCTGGTGCCAAAAATAGCACAGATAAATTATTCTTTTGTATCACAACACCAACATGGCTGAAATTCAAGTCAATAATTGCTGGCAAACATGCAAAATGATTATTAATGATTTAACACGGCCTTTCTATAATAAAGCAGTGTAGCACGGTGGCAGCGTAGCCCAGTAGCAAAATATGCAACAATAACTAAAAGAAAATGGCAAAACACTTTTCATTTCACAGTCGAAAGCGATAAGTTTTAGCATCATGCAATAAAGAAGCTTTGACAATGAAAACGCAATGCATAAAAATGACAGACAAGCCATAACAAATGAAAATTTCGGTATTTGTCAAATAACATAAACATAAACTTGCATGGAAGTCATTTCGACAAAAACTTTCCCTAAGAATTAAGTGTTGTTGTTTATAATTTATAACAAACCTTGTCGTTGCCATTCAATGATATTTTTGTCGTTACTCCTTTTATATGTTGAAAATATGCATTTCCAAGAGAGATGTTCACGGCCACTATTATCGCGATGAAAAGGAACGATTTCATTGTAGCAAATTATGATCAATAATAAAGGTTTCAACTGAACACAATTGTTTGAAAGTCATCAATAAAAGGTCCTATGAAAATCATTGTACCTGTTAAAAATTCATATGATCATCGTCACGTTTTCGTTGTAAATGTGACATGGTTGTCATGTGGGTTTGATGACATGTTTACTATTGTATTGCAGTAAGTTCTTAAAATAAGTCCAAATCCATCATATAAAATAAATGTTCAAGAAACGTACGAGCGCTGTAGTACAAGTTTACAAAACGACAAAAAATCGATGGAAAAATTTCCAATTGTGTAATATTTATTCTGTGAGTATGTTTTAAGTCTTAAATTATAAAAAAATTTCTATAAGTCAAAGTCCAAAAGTTCATAGTGCAAAATTAATAGTAATGATATTACATAGTAAAGTTAAATGACTATCAATGACTGGGTATATCATTATCACATACAGTGGCGTAGCTAGCCGTCAATAAAATTTCCCGCAAAATAACTTCAACATTATTATTGTTAAAGTTGATGACAAGTAGCTTTTTAAAAGATTGATTTACTTACATATAATTATTTAAAAAGAATGTAAACAATATATTAAGCTACGTTTGTCAACTAGAACTTATTCTACGCTTATAGCTCGACATGTTCATGCTCTCAAAAATCATCATAGCCATCTAGTATATTTCAGATTGGATGAAAGAATCTGAGCGTGCTCAAACGCGACGTTTTACACTTTATCGAAAGTTTTGAGTATTTTATCTCGAGAGGTATTACTAGAGTGTTAAAATTTAATGCTTTAAGAACATTGCGAAAATGCTTTTTGTTAAAGACGGAATCGTGTCGGTTTATCAGCCGATCCTAACATGGTAACTCAATAGCGTCATTAAATGCTTGTTAATTCTCAATATTTTTAAGATTGTTGCTTTTTAAATACATAATGAACTCCACACAAACCCTAACCCCATTGATATCCCGTAACAGTGACGTATCTAGCTAAAAAAGTTGGGCATGCTCTATAACATCGAAGAGTACAGACGATTTAGGTATTTAGCAGCCCTCAAGACAAATTTATTAAATTTTGTAACTCTAATTTTTAATATATAATACATGCAAACAAACGTTTATTACTCGAAGGCATATGGGCATCGTCGTAGCTGTGTTTTAGAGCGGTTGTAAATATTCCAATTTGAATTCACATCTGAATTTGACTATAAAACAAGTTAGATCATGTTGCTTTATAATTGCGATAATTGCAAGTCTGTCGTTTGCTGCTTGACGAAAATACTACAACAACGAATCACTCATGCGTGGTATATCATACATGATGCCTTTACGATAACCGCAATTCGCATGTATTATAATATAGATAGGTTTTGATAAACAACAATACTACTTTGCCTAATTCATTGTTCCAAAAAATGTATTAATTTCTCCATAATAGTGGATAGTCTGCTATTTTAAATGCAAGAATAAAGCTTATTTGAAAATGCTAGTAATAAGCACCACTAGCATATTAACCAATAGAATTGCAGGGTTTTTGTAGTTATTATAATTTATTTACAACTGTTTTTCCTCCTCATTTCAAATGGCAGGATTATAAAGCTGAATAGAAAGGCAATAACAAGGAGACACTGGATTATTATCCAATAGAAAGGACGTATTTTCTCTAGTGTTTATTATGGACATTCCTGCTCATAAATGGCAGGAGTGAAGTCGAATTGCATGCGAGAAAGTGAAAAAGAAACTGCATTAAAAACAGATTTGCTGCTAAGAAACTCCTTAAAATCTTTGTAACTTGATACTAAAGAGAAAACAAATTTTTTGAAATTTTGTCTTTTAAAATTACTTGTGTTCTTGTGTGTACCTTAAATTATTAGAATTGATTATGTTCATTTTTATGGAATTTTTAGTCTTCCCGTGCTGGAAGAGTAACACCGCTAACTACGCCACTCTCCCTTAAAAATTCAAATTATTTATTAATAAGAAAAAATCTTACTGTCACAAATTTCGTTTCAGATGTTGTGATTAAATTTGAAGATTTTAGTGCATAACCAGAGCGTAATGAGATTGGGAAATAGGCATAATTAAGCTTTTGTCAGTATGGCTGAAATTCAAGTCAATAATTGCTGGCAAACATGCAAAATGATTATTAATGATTTAACACGGCCTTTCTATAGTAAAGCAGTGTAGCACTGTGGCAGTGTAGCACGGTAGCAAAATATGCAACAATAACTAAAAGAAAATGGCAAAACACTTTTCATTTCACAGTCCAAAGCGATAAGTTTTAACATCATGCAATAAAGAAGCTTTGGCAATGAAAACGCAATGCATAAAAACGACAGACAAGCCATAACAAAAGAACATTTCGGTATTTGTCAAAAACCATAAACATAAACATAAACCTGTATGGAAATCATTTCGACAAAAACCTTCCCAAAGAATTAAGTGTTGTTGTTTCTATTTCATAACAAACCTTGTCGCTGCCATTCAATGATATTTCTGTCGTTACTCCTTTTATCCGTTGAAAATATGCATTTCCAAGAGAGATGTTCACGGCCACTATTATCACGATGAAAAGGAACGATTTCATTGTAGCAAATTATGATCAATAATAAAGGTTTCAACTGAACACAATTGTTTGAAAGTCATCAATAAAAGGTCATATGAAAATCATTGTACCTGTTAAAAATTCATATGATCATCGTCACGTTTTCGTTGTAAATGTGACATGGTTGTCATGTGGGTTTGATGACATGTTTACTATTGTATTGCAGTAAGTTCTTAAAATAAGTCCAAATCCATCATATAAAATAAATGTTCAAGAAACGTACGAGCACTGTAGTACAAGTTTACAAAACGACAAAAAATCGATGGAAAAATTTCCAATTGTGTAATATTTATTCTGTGATATGTTTTAAGTCTTAAATTATAAAAAAATTTCTATAAGTCAACGTCCAAAAGTTCATAATGCAAAATTAATAGTAATGATATTACATAGTAAAGTTAAATGACTATCAATGACTGAGTATATCGTTATCACATACAGTGGCGTAGCTAGCCGTCAATAAAATTTCCCGCAAAATAACTTCAACAATATCATTTTCAAAGTTGATGACAAGTAGCTTTTTAAAAGATTGATTTACTTACATATAATTATTTGGAAAGAATGTAAACAATATTTTAAGCTACGTTTGTCAACTAGAACTTATTCTACGCTTATAGCTCGACATGTTCATGCTCTCAAAAATCATCATAGCCATCTAGTATATTTTAGATTGGATGAAAGAATCTGAGCGTGCTCAAACGCGACGTTTTACGTCATGTCGTTGTGCTGATTTGGCAAAGCGAGACCTACACTTAATCCCGCGTGTAATTTTTTGTGTGCTACATTCGTTGTTGTAGTTCGTGTACGTTGTAAACATTTCAAAACATTTCTATATGATTCTATTGCTTATTTTTATTTATATGCTGCTAAAGAAAATATTAAATGAATTTAAATGAAGATATGATCTTTAAATGTCATGCATTCGCACCGCAGAAGTCAAGGGTTCGAATCCCATTGAGTCACCTGAATTTTTCAGGTTCATGATACAATTGCTTAAATTGTCTAGCAAATTGCGAAGATCATATCTTCATTTATTTTCAAACACGGCACTGCATAAAACATTCTTTCATAAAGTAAATATTATCGTTTTTTTTGCCATGAAAACTTTTCTTTGCTTGAAAATCTAGCTGTAGCAAAATGTCATCGCAAAGCAAAAGTCAATGCCGAGAGTGTAAATTAAATCATCTGTTCAAAGCTATAGAGAAAGTTTATACACAGAGAAAGATCGGTTTTATGAAATGACAAGTCAAGATAGCATCCTGTCTATTATTTCTGGGATCTAAGGAATTCTCTTCATGTCATGGACGATTACATCAATACGCCATAACTGGAGATGCCAGTACCTGTGCCAGTCAAAAAAAGAATCTAAGTTGAAATAAATCTTCCGCAAGATGTTTGGATCAGGAACATTGTTGAACGACAAATCTTCTACAAAGGCTTTTTTCTCAAAATCTTTTTCGATTGAGCTGTGCTTTATTTAGCCACATTCCAAACGTTTATGGATTAGCATATGAATACTTGAAACAATGACTTTAAAAATTAAAAAAAAACGTCAAGGTAGTCAACTGGAGCTTTTCTGTGAAAAAAAGTACGATTGCCAATAAGAATCAACGTTTCTTTTTTTTGTTTATATTTGTCGTTTAATTTGTCGTAGAATTTTAGAAAGGTTGCAGCTGTTATTACCCAAGCAACTGTACAACTTATGGCTTTCCAAGAGTAATATATGACTTAATATCTTGATGGGTAAATGTTCTTAAATTTATCTCTTTGCGTTTTTTTGGAGGTATTTAATCACATTGTAGAGGTGGGTGCTTTTGCTAGTATGGATTGATTTGGTTTCTTCTTAACGAAAGACATCATTTTTTCTAAACGAAATTCCGTTTGTGGACGATGTCTACAATGTGAAACAATGAAAGGAAACAAAGAATAACATATTCTTTTCCTTTACTAACTCGAGCACGCTTAGCTTCAGTTCCAAACTTGTTACTTATTTTTGAACATTACTGGCATCACCGGATATCTCATTTTGTAACATTGCTCCTAACAATGGTTAACGTTTAATTAATAATAATAAAACATTGTGAACATGATGAAATGGCAAACTTTCTTTTGATGTAAGTGATATACAACTCGGCATATTTCCATAACCATCAAAAGAATTCGACATAATTTCTGCTAATGTCTCCGAGAAATCTGATCGTCTGTTATTTCGATTTTTGATGACAGTTTTCTTGAGGTAATCCATTTCATGGCCTTCAATTCCAAAATAGAAATCTTAAGCCAGCGATGATTGAAAACTGTAACGTAAAGCAAAAGTAAATTTAACAATTTATTTGACGTAGCTGTGATTGAAACGAAATCAAAAACTATGGGCGGCGGTTACTAGAGGCCTGTAGTAAAATTGCCACCGAAAGTGAAACTGTCTTAGCGTCCTCCATTTTTTTCCAAAACCAGCAAATATAAAGCATTAAATGGCAGAAAGATAAATTTCTTGTTGAGTTTCTTTATTCATGAATACACATCCATCCCTACATTTAGAATTGATAATTGTACACGTTTCCTGTACACACAATACAATGACGTAAGAACCAAATGACAAATACGGCTAACCTGACAGTTACTCCTCATTTGACTCCGAAGATGATTACCGCAAAGGTTGTCGAAACGTCAATCAACAACAACAAAAACAGTCTTTCTCAGGACTATACAAACCTGGACGATCTGCATTTACAAACATGTAATGATACTCCCGGGTTCAAACCAATTACTCACGGGTTCAAACCATTTTCTTCATTTAGAATTGAGTTGTTTATAGATGTCATAATGATAGTAAGGCATTTATTTAATGCAGTGGATGTAATTTATACGCCGTTAATACTGTTTTTTCCACCAGAGCACGCTTATCTTGCTATTCTTCATCGCTTTGACAGGCAATATTATAACGTTAAATAAAATTATTGCAAACATTTTTTCATAATTTATCTCCTATGTAAAAATCGTTATTATTTGCACTTTGGAACAAAATGGCGGCTGGATGTCCTTGTGACCATATTTACCAAATAACCTTCATCACAATGCAAAATGCAGAGAAAAATACGTGTCCCACTCTTACAAATACATTGCTAGGGCAGTTACCACGAAAAATACCGCGCATATGAAATGAAACAACGTAAAGTGAAAAGATTTAACTAAAACACGAACGACTCATGGTATTTAGAAGTGATTTAACGTCGTTTACTGAGTTCAATGGACATGTTAAGAAATGATTCATCTGGTCATTAAATGATTCGATTAATATTGCAATGATTCAACAACATTTGTTTTCATTTAACTAAACAATGTGATATCAATGCAATTGCAAACGACTGAAAGTTGTTAGAAATGATTCGCCGCAATTTGAAACGATCCGTTGCTGTATAGCGAACTGACTCAATATGTTTTTGAATGACGTAATTTATGTGGTCTCAATATGAGCTGTTGGGAAACGATTCAGTAAGATGTGAAATGAATCATTGTGACGTTTGATTCATTTGTATACCGGCCAGTATTAATCCCCGCCAGGGGGGTTGACCGGTCCGTGAGCTTTTCTGCGCGAAACGTCTCTATCTCTCGCCATATCTCTCGTTATACCCATCGCCTTCATATCACTGTTCACAGCATCCATCCATCTCCTTCTCGGTCTACCACGTTTGCGGACTCCATCAACATTCATATGCAACGTTCTACGAATTTCAGCACTTTCTTCCTTCCTTTCCACATGCCCAAACCACCTCAAACGCTGGCGCCTTACTTAATTCTCGATACACTCAACACCAACTCTTTCTCTAATCTCTTCACTTCGAATCCTATCCATCAACGTTACACCACACATCATCCTAAACATTCTCCTTTCCGTCGACGCCAATCTTCTCAGGTCCTCTGCTTTCGGCGCCCAACACTCTGCTCCATATCCCAAAACGCTTCTAATACATGCCTTGTACAATACTCCCTTCTGCTTCAACGAAGTCGATTTTCCGCACAACATTCCCGACAACTCTCTAAAACTCCACCACGCTGCTTGAACTCTGTTCCTCAACGCTTGCTCGCACCCTCCACCATCATTTAACACATCGCCCAGATATTTAAACTCCGATACACATTCCAAACTCACGTCAACCAGTTCAAACCATTCAATCGCGACTCGTCCACCACTTCGACACGTCCCGCACTCAAAAACAGTTACTCTCGTCAATGCACCACCGACACCTGAACACCTTCCATGAACCCACTTACTGAATTTCCCACTCATTATCGAATTCACTCCAACTCTTTTCCCACACACACCACATGGCCATTTATCACTGTCTTTCACCTCCACCTGCCTCGAGCATCTCATGCTCTTCGTCTTTGCCTCATTCACTTTCAGTCCCTTGACTTCTTTTGCCGTTTTCCATTCTCGGTACCATTCCATGAATTTTTGCTTCGACTCCGCCACCAAGACAATGTCATCTGCATACAACAAACATCAGCATCCTTCTTTTCTTCTCACTTCCTCTGTCAGTACATCCTTCACACAAGCAAACAGTAACGGCGACAAGACTGAACCTTGATGAACACCAACTTTTACCTCAAAAACACCAGATGTAACACCTTCCTCCTAACCACCGCCTCTACACCTTCATAAGTCTCCATAACTGCCCGAACCATATTCTCTGTCACACCTTTCTTACGCAGCACGTACTCGATCACCTTTCTCGGAACTCTATCAAACGCCTTCTCCAAATCTACAAACACCATATACAATTCTCTGTCTTTCTCCAAAAATTTCTCCTGCAGCTGCCTCTACACAAAACACGCATCCGTCGTTCCTCTCCCCGGTATGAATCCATACTGCTCCACCTCCATCCGAACAACTTCCCTCAACCTTCTTTCAAACACTCTCTCTACTATCTTCAACGCATGCACCATGAGCTTAATAGTCCTGTAATTCCCACATACCGTCGCTGCTCCCCATCGTGGTTCTGCACGCCGGGAGCACCCAAAATATCGTTCCTCTCCTTCTTGCTCCTTCTAGCCGTTCTGAACAACGCTTTTCGTCCATTCTCCTGCATTTTTACGAGAAGCTCTTTCTGATGCCTTTCTATCGCTTTAGCCACCTCCTTTCGCGCCTTTTTCTTGAACCGGATGTAATCGATCCTATCTGCTTCAGTCCGCGACTTTCTCCACCTTTTAAATGCCAACATCTTCGCGCCAATCACTTCGCTGACTCGTTGATCCCACCACCATGCCTGTTCTTCTACTACACCGCCTTTACTTCTACAACATACCTTCTCCGTCGCCGTTAAAACATCCTTCTCCAAGCACGTCCATCACTCCTCCACCGTCTCACCCTCAACATTCAATGTCACAATTTCGTCACGGAAACACTGCTTCCCTTCATTTGATCGTAACTTCCATAGCTTAAGCCTGCCTTTACCGTCAACCTTTCTCCTCTTCACCTTCCTCAATTTTACAGTCCATGACCAGCAGCTTGTGCTGGGTCACACATTCTTCTCCTGCGATCACTTTTGCATCCTTCACGTTTTTTGAAGAGAAGCGATTTAGTCTGTTGTGAAATTATTCAACGAAATGCAAAGTGATTTAACGCGATACGAAGTTTTTGCTACACTGATTCTTGAAATTATACATAATATAAATTCTAACACGGTTTTATATGCACATGAAAAACATGTGACTTGGACGAGATTTGAACTCGCACCTTTGGGTACTAGTCCGCCGCTCTACCTGTTGAGCTACCAAGCCCACAGGGATTGGAGACGAGTCAAACCTCATTAAAACTACGTATGGACGAGAGATTCTCGCCACGATAGCAGTTACTGGATAGCACCGTGTTTCGACTTTATTCCAAAGCCATCATCAGAGAAATTAAAGATTTTTGAAATTAAAGCGGAAGTATATCTGCACGATTTAAAGTTTGGAACAAGAATCCAGCTTTATGTAATGAAAGGATCACAGTTTCCATGGTTTTTCATTTTATTGTTTTTTACTGGTTTGTTAATGGCCAGTTTCGCAATAAGAGTCGGAGAATATTTCGGATACGTTTTCTATAACTTTGACTTGACAAAATAAACTGAAGAGAGTGCAATATGTGTTGTGTAAAGGTCGTTTGAATAAAGCGAATAATTATTCACTCAAAATCAACGAAAAATCTGGATGTAATGATATTTTATGAACCTCATGGAAACGACTATTTTTCACTTTATACCACATGTTACATCATCAGACATCAGTGGGACGGGTGTTTCGAAGTTTGGCAAGTTCTACTATCATTGTAGTTGTACTCTTGGTTTGTACAAGTATGTGCAAATAACGCTGTTTTTCAAAAAAAAGGCAGACCTAAGATTTATTAGTTGAATCTTAGTGTTTAACAATACAGATGTTACTGTATGCGATAGTATTTGAACTGAAAACACACAGTAACAAATTCGACAACTACATTAACAACTTGAAAAAGTAAATGGTTTGAACACGGGAGTATCGTTACATGTTTGTAGATGATCATCATTTACAAAAATTAACAACTTGGTTAACTGCATCTGATGTTTTTGGAGGGTGGCTCCCGCTTGCCAATACTATTATATCAATTGTTTACAGTACCAGACAACTCGCCTGTGTCGTCGGTATATTGAAGAAAGCCACTCGAAGTTGCACCTATACTAATGAAATTTGAAAATATTTTGATTGCATTTTATTTACAAAAGATTGACTTCCACTTTTTCATTATTATTGACCTTGTACTAAATGTTTGTAAATATAGATCTTCCAGGCTGGTATAGTTCTGTGAAGGACTGTTTTTGTTGTTGTTGACTGACATCTCGAGAACCTTAGCGGTAGTCATCTTCAGAGTCAAAAAAACTACAACGTTTAACTACAGCACTTTAAAACGTTGGCTCGTATGGTTCTTGAAAGGAACAAACTGAATAGTATGAACTTGAATTAGCTGAATACTCAGGAGTCAATTTATGAAAACATTAGTAAAAAACAACCGTGTTTGTCACACACGACCAATAATTAGAGGGTTTGAAATAACAGCACTGTCACAATTTCACAATGTAATATATACACTGTAAATTTTAAGGTGTTAATTTAACACTAAAAAGTCGTGTTAAATTAAAAGGTACAGAATAACACCATTTCGGGTGTTATTTTCTTACTGGTGTTAAATTAACACCGAGTTTGGTGCTAAAATAGCGCCTATTCTTGGTGTTATTATAGCACTTGTTAAAGTGCTAATTTAGCCCTTAGCGTCCGGTGTCAAAATGACACTTAAATTCGGTGTTATTTTGTAACCCCTTTTCTTATTGTTTTATGTAAGGCCAGTTAAACTCGCGACACAAAAATGCTAAGCATTAAATATATTTAAAAAAAAAATCAAATGATTTATATGCATGTATTCACACATATAAATATATACAAAACATAAAACATACTATAAACAAGTCAATATATGAAACAAGTAAAGTTAAATGTATATATATATATAACTAAATATATAAAACATCTTAGAAATACTACTATATTATAATCTCTAAAGCCCCAAACTTTTCACAAACTTTTGAACTGAAACCCTTTTCTTTGCATTTGCGGGCTTACCTATCAAAACTACTTCCAAAAGGGCATAAATGTTACAGGCCTTTGGTGTATACTCCATATTAAGTACATAAAATGTACCTAGAAGTAGTACTATAGACAATGAAATTTCTATATATTTTTTTGACAGATCTAAAAAAATTTGCCCTTCAGTAGCAATTACAAGAGGGTCCAGACTCCCTAATTCTCCCGATCCAATTAGTCGTGGGTAGGTGGTGTTTGCTATTTCATCATCAAAAGAGTCATCTTCCTAAACAACAGCATAAACATAAACACAATTAGAATTATTAGGTCATTGAAAGTGAGACACAATATTGTCATGCCATGACAGTAATATAATTGTATTTTTATTAAAGCATACATAAAATTTTATCCATGCAGTTTTTATATAGTTTCGATATCTATTACTTACGCAGCAGATCTTGAAAACTAAGCAATTTGCCGTGGATTTTTCATTCAACACAACCTGAATAATCAATGCTGTAACTGCACTCCTTATATCTGCAAAATATACAACCAACTGATTAATATTTACAGTATACGCATTTTGCCATTGTAGATTTAAGTGCTCATGCTTTAAGATGAAACTCTACAGTGGTGGATCGAGCATAGAGTTTTTAGGGGGGCTTGGTTTTGTGAGCAACTAAAATCCGAATGTTAGAAACAAATAAATTCGCTAAATATTTTATCTATAATAATAGTAAATGTTCAGCGTTAATTAAAACTTAAAAGTCATGAAAAATGCCATTTTTTATCCCTCTATGCACCACGCTGTTGACGAGAGCTTAGAGAAGTGAGTACCCTGTGCACCCTCCCATAAATCCACCGCTGGAACTCTGTAAATGGACAGACTTAATTGAATACACATACCAGCTTCCTTATTAGGTTTTGCAACAGCATGGCCTCCATGTCTGACATCAATATTTTATGTGTTTGTTGTCACTATTGCCTGCCCATTTTATTACATTTTGAACCATATTATTGTAATGGATAACCATGTTGCTGGCTGCATTTTGGTCTGCCAAAATTCGACCAAATTCTGCTTTTACCTATTCCAGTTGCAAAATACAAGTTACAAAAAGCAAGTTTACTGCAAAGATGTCAACTACAACTGGTAAAATTAGCTGCCCCATGATTTTGAGGATAGTTCTATGCAATAGTTCTGCTCAAAAAATATTTATTCTTACCTCTGAAACAAGCTGAAGAGCTGGACACTCAGTCAGTAGCTCATTCAACACTTTTGGTTCATTTATAAATTGTTGGCGCCGGTAGGGGTAGGTCAACTCCATGAGCTCTTTAATTAGTCTATATCTTTTGTTTGTGTTCGTCATCTCGGTTACCATGGCTTTTTTATGTTCTTCGCACGTTTCTGCAGTCTCACCATTATCCATATCATAAACATCATACAGCTTACGTCTTTTTATTTGTGCTTCTGGCTGCTTTTGTGTAGTTTGAGACACACAAACAGATCTTGTTGTTGAATTTGTCTTCTTTCTACGCATGTTTTGAATCGATTAGTGATTGCTTTCAACCATGACCCTGTAACGAAGAAAGTTCATGCTGTACATTATAAGAGATAGCGAGCAAAGCTATAGGATTTCTTCTAAAGATTATCATATGCATTAAATAATATGAATATGACTTACTGTACCAGCTCCAAGTGAATCGACAAGAAAAGTATATTTTTCTACAATCATGGACGCCACTCTTTGTTTTTCTTCTCTGGATGGAAACATTGTATGAGCTTTAATAGAAGAACAAATGTCCCTAGTAAACTCATCCCTAAGGTTTCCATTAAGTTTTCCTGCTTGCAGTGCTTCATTCACTCTTGAAGAAAACTGTAAAATACAAAAGATAAATTTTAACATCAGAATGTGACCTATTATGAGGTATATTATTTAACATACAGAAATAGGAAGTTTAAAATCTTTTATCCAGTTCTTGTTCGGTTTCCTTTCTTCCACAAGTACAAAGCTTGGTGAAGGTTGATCACTCTTTTCAGATGCTATGGTATGTCAAGGTGTACTGGATGTTGTAGGTGACGGTGTGCCTGTTGACGAATGAGCTTCTTCAATTGAAGCTGAAGAATTGCTGACATTGTCATTTATGGCGAAGGAATGACTAGTGGATAAAGCGATCTTCTGGGTGGATGGTTCAATGGTGGATGGAACATTTCTTAATGGTAGAAACTTGTCCAAGCTGTTAATCGTTGCCAATGCATTTTGATTCGTATAACTTGCCCTACTTTTATGCCACATGCCTTCAACAGCTCTTCAGATGTATTGTTTAAAATACCAGCTGAATCAAACTATTCAAGTACAAAAAAATCAAAATTAAATTAAAAAGATATATATATGTTAATGACTGAGCGAGAGGTTCGTACAGGAGGATACTGGTCGAGTTGTTTTTTCGCTTCAAGCGAAAAAAGAACAGCCATTTGATGTTTGGATTGGGCTTTGACCAATCAGAACGCGCGTGAAATAAATGTAAAAATGTTTTCCAGAGGTCCCAAACGGCCAGAGGCCAAAGGCCGTTTTTTATGTCGAGAGGAACTATTTTTCTATTCGGACCGAAATATAAACGGTAAATAACGTATTTATTTCTTGTCAAGCGGTTATGGCCGTTGTGCCATAATGTAATCTTGAATTTCATGCGTAAAACTTTCGTCCCTTTCATCCATGTTTACGTTTTCTGCTATATTTTCGCTAACATTTTCCACGATATTTCCAAGCTCGTCGGCATAGTAAAACTCGCTTTCCGAGTGAGAACTATCATTCAAAGCCATTGTTAAAAACGTTTTCCAAATAACTTTTTTAAATTACTAAAACAGCTTAATTTATTGGCTTTAACATTTGCCAGGATTCCGCGGACCGGAGTAAAAAAAATGAAGTAATTTATTCGAACATCAACTTAGCATGCTGCAATAAAGATTTGGTATTTTTACTTCATAGTCTAATGTAGTTTGGAGCCACAGCAGTTGAACTTTCACTCATAATGCTTGACGTCTTAGATTACTTAGTCATTTTTATCTTTACATTATATTTCCCTCAATAATTTTCCCCACTAAATTCAAGTATTGTTTTTTCGGTATGGAGTCCATATTTACCAAGCAGTGTTAACAAAAGCAACAAAAAGTCGTCTAGTCACAACGTCAACACGCAAAAATTCATGCACTCATGCTAAATTTAATTTTATACACATACCTCTTCATCTTCAAGAATAGAAATTACAGTGTCCTTTACCCCTGCCTTCTTAAGATTATCAAGCAACGTGGAATCCATCCGACCTTAAACGTATAAAAATTTGTACAACACAAATACAAAAATTTCTACATGAAATATAAGCACGAGGAGAAGTATGTGTCACACGAAATTTCATAAGAAAATACATTCAAAAAAGCTTTGTATTTACCTTTTTAAAAGAAGGGAGAACGTCGAAAGCAAATAACTTAAATCCAATGGCTCTGTTAGCTTGGTAATATTGACTTTTACGTTTAGTTCACAATAAAATATAATTTGACAACGCTGCACAAACAGGTGAAATTACGATGAAAAGCATGAAATGAAATATGAAACAGTTTGACAGTGACAGTTGGCTATAAGCATTTTACCGCGTTTTTGCATATAGTCGCTAATATCACATTTCACACCATATATGGTAACAGAGTTGAGCCGGCACTCTCTTCAGAAGTGAATTGTATTCTTGAAGTGAATTATGTCATGGAGCGTCTATATCGATGTAATATTTGCCTAGAATTCGTTTCAGATTCTCTTCAATTACTAATAACACATATTGGCCGTATTCATCGTGATGAACCAAATTTTATGTTGTTTGTGGCATCGATGGTTGTGCCAGGACGTTTAAGAAATTTTATCATTGAGAAATCACCTTATTCGAAAACATAACATCGTGCGCAATACGAGGAACAGCGCAGAGTTGAATACTGATAGGGGAAACGACGATGCTAATCAAAATCATGAGATTGATAATACAGACCCTGAACAGGGAGTTTGACATTATGGCTGACCAGGACAATTTATCTAGAGCGAATGCTTTATGTTTGTTAAATTTCAAAGACAGAGGACGTGTACCTCAAACTGTTGTTTAGAGCATAATGGGATAATCGTTGAGTAATAAGGGGCCTGGACCCAACCGTTATTGTTGTTTGTCATTCGTAAACGAATGACCTTTGTATTTTGTCTCTCAATATATATTTTACAAGATCCTCATTTCGTGAAATAGACTAAGTCTTATCTATGACAAACAACAATTAAAACGACCTATAACGGCAGACGGGCGAAATACAGACGAAAAGATCGGACAATCCAACACTATAAGTAGTTTGGAACGCGACACGCCATCAGCAACAACACGGAACCTATTTGGCCAAGGGGCAGGAGAATATCTACGAAATTTATTAACCCGAAGGCAGCCATACAACCAAAGTAACGAGCAGCACCGGTAAAGGCGTTAATAACACTCCCTTCTGACCCCGAGATAAAGAAAAAATTGCAGTAAACACCACCATCTTATCGATCGCTGATATTTGGCGCCATTTTTCCGGCGGCGTTGAATTACTCCGAGTACTTCCCATCCACCAGAGGCAGGTCATAACCTTACGTGTGCACAAAAATGCCGAAGTACAAATGCCCCTATCCAGACTGCGATTACGAGACAGAGGAAGCTGAGGACCAACTCGCAGCGGTATTGTTGCAAATCCACTCGACCGGCGTTCACAATAACAGCCAAGCAACGAACACACGCACGGGCATCAACGCCACGGCGAAGATTGAAAAGGTCAGACGGCCAACTATATCCGCTGCTGGGTCCAGTGAGGAATGGACATACTTCCAAACGCGCTGGCAGGATTATGTCGAAGCCACAAAATAACCGGCAAAGACAAAGTAATCCAATTACTCGAATGCTGTGACGAAACGCTTCGTAAGGACCTCACCAGAAACGCTGGCGGCACCCTCACAAACAAACCCATCGACGAAGTCATGGCTGCAATCCGCAAACTCGCTGTACGAGAGGAAAACACGATGGTGGCCCGCATCAAACTACACAACATGCGCCAGGACCGTGACGAAACTATCCGCAGCTTCGGTGCACGTCTTCGTGGACAAGCCAGCGTATGCAAGTTTACGATTAACTGTCCCAACTGCGCAACAGAAATCAACTACACAGACAATATCCTACGCGACGCATTAACCGTTGGAATCGCCGACAGCGACATCCAACTAGACTTGCTCAGCGATAAAAATCAAAATATGACACTGGAGGAGGCATTTCTGTTCATAGAAGCCAAAGAAGCCGGCAGACGTTCGGCCACCCACCTACTCAATAGCCAAAGCATCGATGCTACCAGAAGCCAATATCGCCGCGGCAAACAAGACAATATGACCCAGGGCGTGCAAACCAATAAAACTGGGCCATGTTCCTACTGTGGCAAACATGGCCATGGTAGAAACGCCCCACCCAATGTCCGACGACAGGAATGCCCAGCCTACGGCAAAACATGCGATAGCTGCGGACGCCCTAACCACAACGCCTCCATGTGCAGAAGCAAAAACAAAACTAAGCGTCGGGACGCAAAACACAACGCAAACCGAGACCAAGAGGACGCAGTGTTTGACAACCTATGCATGACAAAAAGCCATCAGCATTGCAACAACGGAATCCTGCTAGACCACCATACTTACAATGACATGAATGACCGTTGGGTGAAAAAACCGTCACAATCCCAACCGTTCCTCCATATAAATGCGAAGTGTCACCCAGAGGACTACACAGCCCTCGGGTACACCCTGCATTCTACAAGACATCGCTCAGTCACATTGAATGCTATGGCGGACACTGGATGCCAGAGCTGCCTTGCTAGCATGCATATAATGAAACGACTAGGACTACGCCAGAAAGACCTGCTTCCAGTCACTATGCGCATGCATGCTGCGAACAACAATGGCATCGATATCATCGGTGCAGCCATCGTGAGATTCTCTGGTCAATCCAAAGACGGACGAGTGTTGGAGAGCCGTCAAATTGTATATGTCACTCGTGACTCAAATAAACTCTTCCTCAGTCGTGAGACATGCGCCGCCCTGGGAATCATCCCAAACAGCTTCCCCACCGTGGGAGACACAATGTCAGTAGACATACATACTAACCAGTCTATTCACGTTGTAGCAGAACACCCATCAAAGCGCACATGTGACTGCCAACGTCGCCAACTGCCGCCACCTAAACCCACAGTACTGCCCTTCCCTGCAATCGAAGATAACCGGAAAAAAATAGAGGACTGGCTGCTCCATCACTACAAGTCCAGCACGTTTAACACTTGCGAGCAACAACAACTGCCACGCATGGAAGGTCCACCAATGCGTCTCATGATTGACCCAAATGCGAAACCTAAAGCACACCATACACCAATCCCAGTCCCTTTACACTGGCAGGACGAGGTGAAAGCTGGCCTTGACCAAGACGTGGCCCTCGGCGTGATTGAACCCGTCCCAATCGGCGAGCCTGTCACCTGGTGCCACAGGATGGTCATCTGTGCGAAAAAGAACGGTAAACCACGACGAACCGTTGACCTACAGGCACTAAATGCAAACGCCACTAGGGAGACCCACCACACCCAGAGCCCTTTTCACCAGGCACGCTCTGTTCCCAGTGGCAAAAAGAAGTCAGTGTTCGACTGCTGGAACGGTTATCACAGCGTTCCCCTTCACCCAGACGACAGACACCTCACCACCTTTATCACTCCCTGGGGTCGCTATCGGTATAAGTCAGCGCCACAAGGGTACATTGCCTCGGGGGACGGTTACTCACGCCGGTTCGATGAGATTGTATCACACATTCCAAACAAAACCAAATGCATAGACGATACCCTACTTTGGGCAGATAACCTCACCCAAAGTTTTCATCAGGCTGTCGAATGGTTAGATATCTGCGGTCGAAACGGCATTATCCTCAACCCAGACAAATTTGTCTTCGGCTCAGATACAGTCGAGTTTGCAGGGTTTGAAATCACATCAAACTCTGTTCGCCCAAGCAGGAAATTCATCGATGCTATTCGCCATTTCCCAAAGCCGCGCAGTATCACTGACATCCGCTCTTGGTTTGGCCTGATCAATCAAGTCTCATACGCATTTGGAGCCACTGAACGCATGCTACCGTTTAGAAAACTGCTAAAACCCGGCACGAAGTTTTATTGGGACGAGGAACTTAACACACTCTTTGAGGAATCCAAATCCGTTATCATAAATGAAATCCACGAGGGCGTTCGCATCTTTGACAAGACACGTCCCACTTGTCTTGCCACTGATTGGTCAAAACACGGCATCGGCTTCTGGCTACTGCAAAAACACTGTGAATGCCAGTCGACTGGACCACTATGCTGCCACACCGGGTGGAAGATCAGCCTGGTCGGCAGCCGCTTCACACATGCTGCTGAATCCCGATATGCACCAATAGAAGGGGAGGCACTGGCAGTCGCAGACGCCCTTGACAAAGCCAGGTTCTTCGTGCTCGGTTGCACCAACCTCACAATCGCCGTAGACCACAAACCCCTGCTCAAACTATTCGGTGATCGGACATTGGAAAACATCCCAAACCCCCGCCTACGTAATCTCAAGGAGAAGACACTGAGGTACAGATTCAAAATGATCCATATCCCTGGTATCCGTCACAAAGCCGCCGATGCGATCTCCCGCCACCCCACAGGTCCAGAGAACCCCACCATGCTTTACCTCCAGGACGACATAGCAGAGTTGAAGGACACTACCATACACACCGGCTTTGACGAAACCATCGCTTCACTCGCTTCCCTAGCACTTACAAACGTCGCCACAACCTGGGACAGGGTGCGCATGGCAACTGCAAGCGACACCACTATGCACGATCTCATGAATGTCATTGAATCTGGCTTTCCAGCTTCACGTAATGACCTGCCAACACCATTACAAGAATACTACCAGTTCCGCCACAGCCTCTACACAGTGGACGGCGTCATCATGTACAGAGATCGTGTGGTTATCCCACCACTGTTACGCAAAAATATCCTGGAAGTCCTACACTCGGCACACCAGGGCATATCATCTATGACATCCCGCGCAGAGGACTCAGTCTTCTGGCCGGGAATCACCTCAGATATTGCAGCAATGCGTACGCAATGCAACCACTGCAACCGGATGGCACCATCCCAACCCAGCGCACCACCCACACCAACCATCTCACCAGCCTACCCTTTCAGTGCATCTGTGCGGATTATTTCCACTACAAAGGATCCAACTATCTCGTAATCGTAGACCGTTACTCTAACTGGCCTATTATCGAACGAGCCAAAGACGGTTGCGACGGACTAATCAATTGCCTACGTCGCGTCTTCACCACCTTTGGGATCCCAGACGAATGCGCTACTGACGGCGGACCAGAATTCACCGCCGTCAAAACACGGCAGTTCCTCAAACAATGGGGAGTACACCACCGCCTCGCCTCCGTTGCATTCCCGCACTCAAATTGCCGCGCGGAGGTTGCCGTTAAAACTGTGAAACGCCTCATCACGAACAATACCGGCCCCACTGGTAGCCTCAACACAAACGCCTTACAAATTGCTGTTCTACAATATCGTAACACGCCTGATACCGACACGAAATTATCACCGGCCCAATGCGTCTTCGGTAGACCCATTAAGGATTTCATACCAATTTTCCCCGGCCGTTATAGGCCACACGTCACCTGGAGGGAAACACTCAATGCTCGCGAGGAGGCTTTACGAAACCGGCACATGAGAGCGGCGGAACGTTGGTCAGAACACACAAGAAGATTACCACCTCTGTCCATTGGACATCACGTAAGAATACAGAACCAAACAGGACCGTACCCTACGAAATGGGACAAGACTGGAACAGTCATCGAAGTCCTTCAACACGATCAATACCGCGTCAAAGTCGACGGGTCCAACAGAATTACACTAAGAAACAGAAAATTTCTGCGGCAATTCACACCTGTACAAGAGCAGTTACCCAAAATACTATTGATACGGACCTGCTGCTGATACCAAAAGTCTCAACGGAGAACCTTACTCCCAACAAAATGACAGCCAGCAGAAAACAAACACCGTCATTACCATGTCTAAGACCGGCGACACAGACTGACACCCCGGAGCCAGCACCACTACCGAGCACAGATACCGCAGATGGAACTTCACCAAACGCAACCAAAATACCTGAAGATGCCAGTGAACCTACACCAGCGACCACAAAGCCAAGCAAGAAAGCACCACTAGCTCTACGCAGATTACTCGATTTCAACAAGAAAGGGCTGTTAGAAAATTGAGAGGATGAACAAATATCATAGAACAACTTTATATTACGCTTTCCTATACTAGTAAAGACTTAGGGGGGGATAGAGCATAATGGGATAATCGTTGAGTAATAAGGGGCCTGGACCCAACCGTTATTGTTGTTTGTCATTCGTAAACGAATGACCTTTGTATTTTGTCTCTCAATATATATTTTACAAGATCCTCATTTCGTGAAATAGACTAAGTCTTATCTATTGTTGATTCCTTCGTTGAGAATGCTACGAAGGTTACTCAAACAAGCATTAACCTTTTAAATTCTGGTATAACTAGCTGCCTTAAAAACGCTGGGATTGACTTAAACAACCTACCAGAGGTGAATGAGTTATTTGATGAAGACAACCCAATCTCAAATCCTTTTGCTGGTATTGACCAAGAGTATCTCCAATATGAATACTACAAGAAGGAGTTTAATCTTGTGGTAAGTTGTAAAATTGGTTTAGAAATTTATAAAAAAAGTAATCAAAATTTTACAATCAATATTTCACTTTTTAGGAACCACAAAAGATTGTTCTTGGAAAATACCACACAAAGAAAAGAAGAGGAAATAGATTGAGCGATGTCGAAAAAACAGATGATGCATACTATATTCCCTTGTTGGAAAGTCTGCAACAGCTTCTTAATGATGAGTCAATTCTTAACGAGGTTTGTGTTGATTACATGTGCATGTGATGTATGTATATAATTGTCCATTGAACACAATGCTGAATATAGAAAATTTTAATATTACCATTGCCTTAGCTTTGTTCTGCACATGACAGTATCCGATCCAATTTTGTGTAGGTGGAAAATCCTCATTTTTGCAACAGTGATTTTTTGTCTGATTATTGTGATGGTGAAGGCTTTAAAGAGCACCCACTATTCAGTAAAGATCCCTTGGCATTGCAACTTCTTATTTATTTTGATGAAGTAGAAGTTTGTAACCCATTAGGATCAAGAGCTAACAAACATAAATTAGGTTAGTACCATAATTTAATTTAATGTGCTCGTAATTCCCATACTGTAGGTTTAAAAATGTCTATTTCATTAAATTTTCCAGTTACCTTTTGCATTTCATATAGCCGCTTTTTATTATACACAAAACACACAAACACAAACAACATTTATATACCGGCCAGTATTAATCCCCGCCAGGGGGGTTGACCGGTCCATGAATTTTTCCACGCCACACATCTACCATGAATTCCACGCCACACATCATCAATTTCCACGCCACACATCATGAATTTTTCCACGCCGCTTTTTATTATACATTGGGCAATATACGCCCAGAACACCGGTCTCACCTCAATTCCATTCAACTACTTGGACTAGTGTCTAGTAAGCATCTCAAGATATATGATGTGGAACCTGTGCTAAGAGCATTTCTTAGAGACCTTCAAAAATTAGAACAGGTATTGGACTAGTGTTGATGCATGTTTTTCATGTTTTGTTCTTTTAAGAACTCTAATAAATTAAGGAATAAATTAACTTTTTAGGTTGGTGGCTATGAGTTTATAATAAATAATCAGCGAAGATGCTTTGCAGGAACAATTGCATTTATATCTGGAGATAATCTTGGTTCACAATATCTTGGTGGGTTTAAGCAAGGATCACAGTCTTACAGAAAATGCAGAGTCTGTATGGGAAATGCTACAGAAATAACTGAAATGGTATATATAATGTAGCTACAGTAATGCTTGACACTTGCCACTGCACCTATTGCATGGTTTATGCTTTCTCCATAGTATGTAAACTTTGAAAAATAAAAAGTACTTAGTTCATATAAAAGTGCTTTACTTCAGACAATGTGTTGGTTTAATTAATTTAAATGGTTTCAGTGCTAGATACTGTTTGTGTTTAGGGTGACTTAATTTAACTTATTTGTTTAGTTTCATGAGGATGACTTTGTTTTGCGAACAGTGCAAGGTTACAATGAGCAGTGTCAAAAACTGGACCAAGGAGAGCATTTCAAAAAAACTTATGGCCTGAATCAGTTTTCTTTACTTAACAACTCAAAGTACTATCATGTCATTGGAGGACTCCCCCCAGATGCTATGCATGATATACTGGAAGGTGTGCTACAATACATTGTTAAAGAATTATTAAAAGAATTCATCTTTGAAAAGAGATACTTCAAACTAGACGACCTTAATAAAAGGATGCAGGCATTTGATTTTGGTTATCATAATGATACCAATAAACCTGCTCCAATTCAAACCGAAAGACTTTTTTCATCAGACAATAGTTTAAAGCAGCACGGTACAGTAATGTCCTTTCCACTATTTTAAAAATCCTTAAATTCTATATAGATCTATATACAGTATGTAACTATTTGATACCATAAGGTATTCTAAGGTCAGGGGATCCCTAAAAATGAAGTAATTAGCACACGTTCCCTCAGGAAGATAATTTGTGACGCTTTTCCGTCCTATTAGCAAATCAGATGTGGTGTCTTGGCCTACATTTGCCATTTCTTATTGGTGACCTTATAGAAGTAGATGATCAGCACTGGGGGTTACTCTGTACCTTACTTCAAATTGTTCGTATAAGTTTTACTCCAATTGTGAGCAGAGAGCAAGTTTCATATCTTCAAATACTCATTCAAAAGTTATTACAAAATTTTAAAGAATTGTTTCCAGAATGCAGTATCATTCCAAAGATGCACTACATGGTTCATATGCCAAGAGCAATACTTCAGTAAGTTTAGAATTCTGATTTACAATTACAAACCATGTGGCTTCAAAAACCAGCAGTTTTCAAAAATAATTTACAATTCTTTCCTGTATTCTGTATCAATTAACAGATTTGGGCCTCTTGTGCGAAGTTTGTGCATGCGCTACGAAGCAAAACACCATTACTTTAAGAGGTTGGCAATAGTGATTGGTAATTTTATAAAGCTACCATACTCGTTGGCAAAGAGGCACCAAGAAGGAGTTTGTTATCGCCTACAGTCTGCTGAAGGTGGAAATAGCACGTTTATTTGCAAAGGCACTGAAATTGGGCCAGGTGCATTTCTTAATGATTTCTTTCATTCAGAACAATATATAGTTATAGCTCAATGGTGCATCCATTATCCTGAGTTGGTTTTATTTTTTATGTAAGCTACAGCTACAGTAATTAGAGAAACTTATGTTCGTCTTTTTGAAGGTAAAACATTATATGTTGGTGATGTTGAAGAGAGTGGGCTCATTCGAACAGAATCTCCTGAAGTGAACAGACAAACACCATTGTATAGGTAAGTCAGATTGATGTAATTAGTCGAGTGACTGAAATATCTTCATTGTGAATGATGAAATTGCTTGAAATTGCTCTTTATTTACTTGCTTTTCAGTAAAGTTTATGTACACAATTAATTGCTTTGAACTAAATAATATTAATATTTTTCCTATTATAATTTTAGTACCAAATGGATTACTATCAATGGAACAAAATATAAAGTAGGAGCTACTGTCCACATTGGTTATGATTATGTTGAATTTCCCCAGTTTTGGGAAGTTATTGGTATTTATATCATTAACCAAAATGTTGCAACTGCCATGTTTGTTGTTTCAAGAAAACAGACTGTCAGGTTTTCTGAACATTATCAGGCTTATGAAGTTGCTCAGTCAAAACAGAAGGAAATTAAAATTAAATATTTTAAAGAGTTAACCTCAAATTTGCCATTTAACTTGATAAAGCCATTTGGGTGTAACACAAAATACATTTGCCATAGATATGAAATAGATGTAGAATAAATTTTACTTTCCTGAACACAGCATATTCATGCATTATCGTAATGTATATATTATGGCCTTTCAAAAAAGCTGATTATCTTTGGTATAAATTATTCTATTTACTGTTTAACCTGTGTACTTATTATCAGTGAATGATTTATAGGGAGCAGGTGCAGGGGTGCTCACCCATCTATGTTCTGGTCAACACGGTTACATTTAGGTGTGCCAAAACGGTATTTCTTATTACTTTTAGGTTTTAAAGAACTCACAAAGCCAAGGTTCCCCCTATAAAATCCATGCTTAATCCAGCTTTGGTTAATATAACATATGTATTGCCGCTATTTTTTACGAAGTTTTTAAACTGTTTAAATGAACGCCTAAGTCAACTGTTCTGTTATCCGTGTCAGAACGAAAACAGCTGCAGTTTGATATAAGTATAAAAATAAGTTAAAAAAACAGTTAAAATAAGTGTTATTTTGACACCCATGATTTTACAAGGAGAGTGGTGCAGAATTAACGCCCTTTATAAATTATTGTAACTCTTGCTAATGGTGTTAATTTAACACCAACCACTTAACATCAAAAAACATTGTTACTTTAGCACCTTTGTGGCAGAACAAGGTGCTATTTCAGCACTATTAATTAGGTGTTAAAGTGTTGAGGTGTAAATTTGACACGCTACAATATGTTTAAGGTCATATGTTGTTAAATCAACACCAATATTGGTGTTATAATAACACCTTTTATTTAACACCACCGGTGGGTGTCAGTTTAGCACTAGAGAAAGTGCTAGTTCAACACCTCAAAAATAACAGTGTACATGATCCATTCTTTACTTAAAAATGATAAGTGACTGACGTTTCGACAACCTTAACGGAAGTCATCTTCAGAGTCAAATGAGGAGTAAACGTCAGGTTAGCCGTATTTTTTGTCTCGTTCTTACGTCATTGTATTGTGCGCACAGGAAATATGTGAGTGTCATTTGTGTATTAGTGTGAAGTGTGATGTTTTTAGTTGCTCGTGTATTTCTATTGCGAATAAGTCGTATGTAAAGTGCCGGTAAATTCAGTGATCTCTTCAGGGGGGTTCGTTCCAAGTTGGTGTACCAACTATCTAATTTAAGCCATTGTTAGTGATGTAAGTAATGCATTTTGCTGTGTCCCACTCAATGTTGTGCTTTATCACTCGGCGATGTTCAGCAATGTGATTAGTTTTGTCTTGTTTCTTTGTAGCTAATTTGTGCGACACGTATTTTGTATGATTGATTTAAGGTATCGTTGCTGTATAAGTCCAGTTCTATGTTGTCATCAGTCCCTGTCACGAAGTAGTCCCATGAGATGCGCATGTGCATTTGCTGATCAGTGTAAGCAGTTTGCTGAAACGTTACAACGGATGAGTTAATGGAAAAGAAAATCCTTTTAAATCCAATACATACATTTAGATGGAGACAGCCTAGAGGCGGAGCTAAAGAGGCTACGACATACATTCATAAGTCTATAGCCAACATTGAAGTTACGATGGGCAACATGGCCCAATTATTTGAACATATACTAGCTAAAAAGCCTTTAAAATGTGAAAGCCCAACGGGCAGTGGAAAACGACAATTAACAGAGCATGACAATGACTCTGATAGCGAGCAAGAGCCAGAAACATCCTCTGGGAGGAGTAGAGGCAAGCGACAACGTCGCAAAAAGTCTATTTATGCTATAAGCATTGTTGTTGGCGATAGCGAGGACGAGTTAGCAAAACTTGTGGGCACTGCTGGCAAGAGTACCGACGGTGAAATAACAAAAACGAGTGGAAATGAACGCAACGCCCAAGAGCATTACTTCTTAGACGACCTCGCTAAAGGTTTGTCAGACGAGGAAAGCACAGGCCCTAATTTAAAAAAAAAGTTAGCCGATATAGTGCTAAAACGATGGGGCAAACAAATGAACCCCGAAAAGTTAAAGCTAAACCTAGAGAAATACACACGTCCTGAAAACTGCCAGGAATGTGGTGTAAGAAGATTAACCCAGAGATATGGCAATTTTTAAATTCAAAGAAAAAGAAGGCAGATATACAAATGTTCAACATACAACAAACAGTACTCAAAGCCACGTTGGCAATTTTACAAGCAACACACTCGTTGGTCGTTACAGGCTGTAGCAGAGAAAACTCTCAGGTATTTTCCAACTTAGTTGATGCCATAGCGTTGATGGCCCATGCACACAATAATATATCATTGGCGCAGAAAGAGCAGATGAAACCTGCAATTAAACAGGAATATTCAGCAATATGTGCACTCAAGGACCAAGCAGACAGCAAATTACTGTTCGCAAATGAATTGGCCAAAAATCTAAAAGAGGCTGAAGAGGCGAGTCACATCAGCTCCTCTATGATAAGTGGAAATCACAGAACGTACTTTACTGCCAAAAAACCAATGCCTTCTTACAAACAGGGACATTCTTCTAGCAACAAAATTTTTTTATGGTAAATCCAGCATAGGAACCCGCACAGAGGGTAAAAACCTCAATGGAAAGTGGGACAAATCCTCTCGAGTATACTTTTACGACCTAAATTAGATGGGTCACACCGACTAATTCTGAATTTGAAAGCTTTTAACGAGTCAGTGGTCTATCATAATTTTAAGATGGACTTTATTCACAATGTCATTAAGCTAGTTAAAAAAATTGCTTTATGGCATCACTGGACTTAAAAGATACGTACTACTCTATACAGATAAAGGCATCGATTCAAAAATTTTTACGTTTTTCATGGCGTAAAGAAATTTATCAATTTACATGTTTTGCACTCAAGTGGACACATTTTGTTAGCACATATTGATGATTGTTATCTTCAGGGGCAAACATTTAAGAAGTAATTGCAAGGTAGAAGATGAAATAAAAGAAGAAGCATCACAAGGACCCAAAGTGCTACTGTGCGATATAGAATTTGGATAAGCCTTAGTTGTCATGTTTGTCTCATTAGGACCAGAAGGTGTAAACCTCAACTTTGTTTGTATACTGGGCTTTTTAGCCCGTGACAAGTGACTATTTCCCTTTCTTTTAGTTCCCTTCCCACTAAGTATCAAAGGCACATAATTATTGTGTTTGAATGCAGCTGCTTGAGGAGCTAAACCTTCAAAGCAAAACAAAACTCGCAAATAATTACTAGTGGAAGCACAAGCCCTAGACAGAATTCAAGATTCAATTTTTTGGTTAAATAATAAATTCCCCCTTATAAGCACAAGAGTGTATGTCAGGATAGTAAGAAAAAATGCTACAGGATGTAACTGTAGAGAGTGCCAACAAACAAACAAACCCAGTCCATGCCATATCTTTTGCATTTAACACAGCTTACGCCCTGACCAGTTCAGCAACAGAACAACCACTTCCAGCATTATCAATAGCTTCAAAATAGACTGACATGGCCACAAATACTTGAGATAGAATCAAAGTGTTTGTTATGCTGAGTTTCAAAAAGATATGAAAAACATGGATGTTTTGCATATTAATCAGCATATAAGAGTAATTCTATAGAGGTCATTAGCCTCAAATAGTCACCACAGAGTTGTCACCAACAAGCAGAATTGACCATGAACTATAGAGGCAGTTGCCATTTGTAGCAGATCTAAAATAATGTTATGTAAATTTCATATATCATGCTTCAGTTCATTTTTGCATATCTTATCTTAAGTATACTATTGAACACATTAAGGAATAAATCAATAGAAACGTTTTAAATATGATCGAAATTTGAAAATTTGTTTGGTTTTGAATTACATAAATAAACCACAAATGACAAATCCATCGGGCATCACATCAAATCAATTTATATTTGCTTATATTATTTTTGTGTAACCAAACATGCATAACATGTCATAAGTTTTCTAACCTTAAGGCAACCAAATTTGTGTTCTTTGTCTTGGCACTCTACGGTAAGTAGAATTTGGCATTGATATTTCGTTAAATATCAACACCGGAGACGATCTAACAAACTATCGTTGGTAACAAGGGTGTAGATAAAAAGCGGACGCGGACGGCGGACGCAAAACGCGCAAATAAAATGCTTTAGTCCGTTCGTAAAATACTCTTATTCTACGTCGAAAAATAAACATTGAAAAAGCTAAAATAAATACGAAACTAAATGATGCTATTAAGAGACATAGGTATAGGCAAACAGTGGAAACAGCTTAGTGCAGCTCTGTTTTTAATGATTGTACGATGATATTTACAGCTAAATTTTGAAAGACTTAATTATGCAGAAATGAATAGGAAATGAACCCAAAATATGTGAAGAGTTTGAAATTGTATATTTAATGTTATACGTTCATCTTCTTCGACATAATTTACTTGAAACTTAATTTTGAGGTGACCTTTTTGCTTGCACTGCCTTTAAGTCAAACTTAAAAGAGATCAGCAGATTAATAACTAATTTTTGTTAATACCTAAACTATATGACAACACCAAAATAGATTCTCTTGTCTAGAAAATTATGCCGAATTCCCGAAGGAATATCTCATGCTCATTCTTCAATCTAGGTTCAATACGATAAGGCACATGCACAAGTGTTGCCGCAAAATGGGATTGTTTACTTCTTATGCAGCCTGTGTAAACATGGTAATAGACGTTTCCTGGAAGTTGTTTTAGCGTACCTTCGTTATCATAATATCCTCTCAATGTGTTCGATACAATTACTAAATCATAAGGAGGATTTCTTATGAAACCACCTGGTTTAAGTTGCAGGCTGCATCCATAGCATGTTTTGACTTGAGGTGGACAATACTGCAGTAAATACAGTAGATACGACCCATATATTGGGTTAGGATATCCAGGAGAAATGCAGATATCTTCAGATAATGGAAAAGGGTTAATAAGTTGGGAGGGTTGCGACATGAGAGGATGTGTGTTTTCACGTACTAATTGACCTGTTATGTTGAGCCGATCGTAATGCCTGTATGGTGTGGATTCTTGTGGATTGCATATTTGTTGTGCATGTTCTTGCAAATTTTGATGATGGAGATGGAGATGTTGTAAGTT